AATGAATGAATGAATGAATGAATGAATACAAATGTTAAAAGTCTCATTGTGAGTGTATAAAATAAATTTCCAATCAGAGGGTGCAATTAGGATTTTATTAAACAAAGATTTAGCAAGTCCTGCCAACATCAAGGGGATCTGAAGATTATCTAAAACTATTTAGAAGAATTCATCTATGTTGGTTAGCATCATGAGCAGAGAATAGATAATACAGGTAGATTTCAGATCTGTCCCTTGTGGGTTTCTTTTCCAGAGGTCGATATCCAGACTCTCCTGAGCTGTGTTTTGGGGTGACCAAAGCGTTCCATCCTCCTGACTTTCCATAAATGATTGGATTTATAACCCACTCCATACTTGAGAACATGGGGATTGGAATAAGGTAAGTGTTATCTTTTCTATTTTTCCCTCTATTGTTACGTCTTCAACCATATACTATCCTTGTAGAGCAATAATTTAAAAATCCTCGCTCTCAAGTCTTCATCAGGAGGTATGACTGGCTTCCCTGTGAGTCTAGCTGGTCTCGCAATGTTGGAATATCCTATACATACGAAGAAATGTGGTGAAGTCTCTTGAGGAATTATTTCTTTTTTTTGTTTCATGACTAATTTCTTCATCATTGTTCTATCAATGTTTCCCTAAGACGACTCCATGTAGAGAAATGTGAGTTTTGAGAAATCGGAAAGACTTGCTGCCCACTGTGTGTGGGACATCTTTTGGGCCAGATGCACACTAAGAATACAGGACATGAGCAGTGCAATCAAACTCCGAAACAACTCTGTGTTAGCGCTACTGCCCACAGACAGTTACTCCCTCCGTCCACCCCTACAGTCAGCCTTCTCAAACCACTTCCCTGCTTTAGTTTTTCATTTAAAAAAAAAGTAGCATTATTTATTTATCTTTTTTGTTCGTTCTTTATCTCCTCTACTCGAATGGACATTTCATGAGGGCAGGGATTTTGTTTCATTTTGTTCTCTTCACCACTATGTGCTCACCAGCACTTGGAACAGTAGTACCTGGTATGTCACTGGTCTGTTACTATTCCAAGTGCTGAGCATATAATGGTTGACAGAATAAATGACGCCCTTTAAAAAAAA